GCTGATGAGAGTTTTTGGAATTGGGCTCACATGTCACGCGGAAAGGTACTACCGACTTTTGTGGCCCGCCGCTGCATACCTCCGAGATGAGGCGCCGGCCATTAACCAGAAAAAAATGAATACACAAAATATTACGATAAGTTGTTTGGCTTTCAGCCCACTGAGGCCAAAGTCTCCGAGTCCGGTGACCTCACTCCTCTTCAGTTTCTTGTTTATTTTTGGCGTGCGAACCTTCATCCAAAACTTCCCATATATGGGTTGCAGCTAGGGTTGGTAGATTGTGTCTAAAGCTTTTTTCATGGTCGCCGTGTCTTTCAGAACTAGAGCACCAGCGCTAGAACCCCCACGAGCCCGGTTTATTCTCCTTGTAAACCATCTAGCCTCAAGTCTTTCATGTGTAGGACCCCATGTGCCAATAGCTTGAATGTCATCAATCTTTCATGTGTAGGACCCCATGTGCCAATGTCATCACAATTCTACTCTGATGGGTGACTGAAAAAAAGCGCCCAACCATGTGACCGAACTAGGTCACTCTACGACGAATACCTAATTTTCTGTTTAGGTGCAGTTGTAGATCTGCTACAAGTGGATGGTCGTGACGATCAATGGCTGCTAAGAAATCAAACGGTAGATAAAGGCTTCAATGAGGTAGTAAAATCGTACATGACCCATCCGGGAGAGATAAAATGGTAAGTGGGGCCTGCAGTCACAGAAGTCTAATAACAAGAACATTGTTAGGTGTCATTCACCGACTGCATTGCGACAGCGCTAAAATGATTTCCTCATCCCTACTTTAGTTGCTTGCCCATTTATTGATGGATGACATTCGGTGCATGACTATTCTAAGTAGTGTAGATCTTACGCACCCAGATATGTTAGTGTGTACAAATATGTGTACAAACATAACTGGTCACATTTACTTTCCATCAATGTTTGGATAGCTTTTAATCTCTAATAACTTGATTTGGACGACTCCCTACAGCCCCAACCATCTCAGGACAGCGGTTCACGTTTTCTCAGGGCATATGACATACCTACAAAGTGATCTCCGTGGTTGTTTGTTCATGCTTCTGGTTGAGCATTTCGTGTCAATTTTCCAGGCAGCAGTAACGTCCCGGTAGTTAAAATGTCAGTTACCAAATTTTTTGCAAATGAGTGTTTTGCTGATTTCGTGCAATTTGGATGAGTGTATATTCGCTAATTTCGTGCAATTTGGTTTCAAGTAGAACATAAGGTTGACGGAAACTCGGGGCTGCGCCTACCAGATAAGCCCTAAGAAGGCCGAAACCGGTCGTAGGCTGTCGAGGGGTTTTCAGCAACCTTGTGAGTAGTGCATTACAAAAATATGTCTGTTACCTATTTTCATCGACACGGAAGACATGCCATTAAACATGCTTTACATGTACAAAGACAGTTTAGATTGCGGAAAGCGAAAAGCCAACAACATGAATTGCACAACATTACAAAAATATGTCTGTTACCTATTTTCGTCGATACGGGAGACATGCCATTAAATATGCTTTACATGTATAAAAACCGTTGAGATTGCGGAAAACGAACAACATGAATTGCACAACTTACGCGCAACTAATGTAACATTTGTATTGTTGGTTGCAGTGCACTAGGCATCCAAAAATAGAAATGGGTCTCTTGGCAATCGCTTTGTCGTTGCGAACCCCACGAGTGAAAGGACTGTTAAGTTGCTAAGCACTTGTTAATGAGCAAATTTGGCCGCAAACCAGTTGGACCCCTTTGAACCTTGCTTTTTCCGTCTAAAACTTTGCGCCTACGTTGGATCCAACTTACCAGATGACGAGCGGCGCCACATGAATGATGAGGATCAGACTGGACGAAATACCCCAATAGCTAGCTTTCCTTTTTGTCTTGTCTGGAAGCACGTATCCTTCTTGACCTCCCTGTTTTGGACTCATTAGCAATGTTAACATCAAGCGACCACATTTTATTGGCGGACTTCCCTCGTATTCGCAAACACAGCCCTCGCCATGCGCTTGCTTATCAACAATGCCTGGACAAAAGTACATGCGGATAGTTTATTACCTGCGCCCTATTCGGACAATTGACAAAGCTCTTTTTGGTGTCTAGTGACAGAAGTCGAGTTCACGCGTCACAGACTGTGCATGGTGTCTTGATTTCTTGCGGTCCGCCCGTGCAACACAACCGCGTTTGACGGTTGTCCATCGGGCAGATATTCCGAAAAAGCTGTTACAGTCAGGTGCCTACTCGTTTTTGTGGCTCTTTAGACACACTCATACTCCCCGTAAGAAGCTGCCGAGGCAGCTTAGAATCCACAGGCAACAACAGAGTTAGTCATACTGTCAAGTTATTCTCGATAGTTTCCTATGATGAGTGACGTTCATGGTGGCATTCCTTTTTCATGTGTAAGCCACACAGACTGTTGCAAAGTTACACGTTGCGACAATTCAGGTGCCAAAAGGATGATGCCAGTGTTGGAGAGGCATGATCTGAACGTCTAGAGGTTTGATTTTGAAATTGAGACTTTTATTCGGAGTGAATGGTCGATGAGCTTTACAAAACTATCCCCATGCTGCTAGCATACCATAGCACGACGAATGCATCTTGTTCCAATGATACCTCAAATAACATTGAGAACGGGACGTGGGGTAGCTCGTGGTACAAGGCCTCATAAAGATCGAGTAACTCCCACTCTGCGGAATTGTGGAGGGTGGAATGACCCATCCAGTAATAAACAAGTACAGACCTTCAAGATACTCCAAAGGTATCGTTTCACCACGTCTCCTGCAGGCTTGAAGCCGACAGTTGCCAACGTTGACCAGACCGTTAACTTTAACGTATTGTAGTCGCTTCAGTTAAATCATGATGAATTGTTGCCCAACATGTGGAGCATCAATTGCGTTTGAAGAATGTGACTTGTTCAATTGGCGCGTATTTTTTGTTCAGATGTGACCGCGCACGCCAAGCACAATGGGTGATTGGACAGGAATCACTGTGTTGAATATGAATACGCCTTGATCAACAAGTAAATCAGTGAGAGCACTCAGAATTTCCATAAGAGGACTATTGTAAGTAATTCAATGGAGATTTCATTCTGTCAGTGAAGCCAATCTATGTTGAAAAGCCAAGGAGCCCTGTACAACTGCTTAATGCTTGCTGGGTATCGTCAGCAGTGCGCATCTTACGAAACACGAAGGATTTCGGACGCGCTACCTCCCGGCCACTGTTTGAACGGTGAACCGTTCGGGCATGAGTGGTTGATGAGTAGTTCTCACCTAGGCAGAGCACTGCGCTACTCATCATTCAATGACCACATTGCACGGTCACGTATTGACTGGCTCCTCGAGTGACGACTTATAAACAAGTCAAATGTTATAACAGATTCGTTAGGCTTTTGTATCCAAGCCCCACCAGTTGTCCAAACCTCTCTCTGCGCCGGTTGTTAGACTCAGTCATCCAAGAGCGTAGGCAAGAGAAGCCTCGTTTCAGAAGATTCTATGTGTTCTAGGAACTAGATTTAGTAAAGGACGATAACGCGTTAGATAACACGAACCCGATTGAGTCTCCCGATTAGTAAGTTCAACCAAAAACTCATACGTCTATTTGGTTGTTATAGGAATAATGTTTTTTGCTGAACTGCGACACAAAAGTAGGCTGGTATCCGTTTTTGGATTTACCGGCCACATCAACTCAAAGAATCCCAAGCAGTGTACCTAACGCCTTATGTGATTTTCCGAAAAAAATCCTGTGAAATAATCTGAGTACAGTTTAACCTGTCCAAACCCGAGCTTGTATTAAAAAAACCGTCCAGCTGTAGCACGCTTTCGGTGCCTAACTGCCATGCCACCCGAAGGTTGCACGAGGGCTGGGATACTGTCAGGTTGCCCAAGCCTAGACAGGGAAGTCGAGAGGCAGAGGTCGGGTTCGAACTGCAGACCTTCCGGCCAGTAAATTCGCGCCCTAACCACTTGGGCCATCTCGCTTTTATGACCGAAGGTAACAACACGTAACCGACAGACAGTGGTTGCAAATAGGCATGAAAAATTGAACGCTTGGAACACATGGTACATGGGCTGGGTGAACTAGTGTGTCACATCACCTATGTACCTAAAACGGGCGAAGTCTTGCTCAACATGACTTGAATTTTCGCGATATCACTTCTCACACTTTTACGAGCATAGTACACTAAAAAGTCCAGTGTTAAACGAGCGCAGGGCGCAACAGTTTACATGTGCAACAATTTAAACTATCTCTGTTAATCTTTTGCTTCCAAGCTGTGTTCTTAGAACTTATCTTGTTTTCTTCATGTAACGATAAATGTCGCCGGTGGTGTGTGAGCTCTTTTAAGAAGTCTCGCATGCAAAGCTGTTGTCAAGTTAGTTATGTAATCCCAAGGTCCATGTGGCACACATTCATTGTTCAGCCGTCTGACATTCATGGATGGGAGTCTAACCACGGCGGTTCTCCTCAATAGGGGGAATATGTGGGTATCTACAAAGTTTTGAGTCGGACACACCGACTACGGATCGAGTGAATGGACACCAATTCACGAAGCGTTTTTATCTTACCAGCCCCAGCTCCCCGCATAACTTGGATCCCGATGACCTGTTATCGCCTCAGCGAATACTCCCACTGTACCGACATTCGTGAACCGGGTTAAAAGAATGCAAAAACGTCCAGCCCTTCAAGGACTTTCCATGCATCCATCTCCCTTCGTCATTCTAATTCCGGTCTTACTCTCGTACAGCCTGCTGCCATTCCATACTTTGTTCATCTCCTCTGCTTTGACGTTTTTTAACAACTAAACTGCGCTGTCACACTTCAAAATTACTTGGACGTGAATATGGTCATATAACTATTCGTTGACTCAACTCTAAAGTTTATTCAGGCCGATAGTTGCGCCAACCTATCCCGACGCAGTACTTTGCGGCCGAGGGTGTTCATCCCGCATTTCTGACTAGGTTATCCGCTCTCACTTCTTTGTTGTGTTTTGGTTGCGATTTCAGGTGGTTTCCGTAGCCGGATTGCTTGTAAACCTGGTAGGAATGGTGGCGCTGGGTCATGCCCATAGCCACGGAGGTGCTCCTTGTGGTGCGCACGGTCACACGCATGGCGGGGCTGGACATGGGCATAGTCATCAAAAACACAGTCATAATTTGGAGCAAGACCCACACTACGGTCACGCCCATGGGCAAAAACGACAGAGCGGAGTGCACGCGCATTCCCATTCACACGACAGTTCTGGTGGGAACGCAAATCTTCGTGGTGAGTATTTCATTTTACTTGTTCGTCTTGTGACGTTTTTGATAGTCTGCTATGATTAAGAACTCAGGAAGTGGGACTGGGTCGTTTACATTCGTTTTGCAGTGTTCTCAACGGCGATTAACAAGGTTTGGTAAAATGGAGCCTGTTGAACTCCTGTGGAAGGTAAGCTTATCCCCAGCATTTCTTTCGCAACTTCGTTACACATCGCATCTCAAGAGCGCATGTACGGACCGGATGGAAACGCGCTCTTCTTAAGCGTCTTCGGAGGGATAGTCAAAATGAGCCAAAAAGCATTGGTAGATCCTCAATAAAACATCTTATTTACCACACAGTTGAATGCGATTTCCATTTGCTACACAAAAGGACAAAGGTGGGCGTCATTTCTCACATACAAACACTCATTCATGAAGTTCATGTAACGTCAGTCATCTCTTCATAAGTAGCATAAACTTAGGGGTCTATGTTGTATCCATGGTGATCAAAACCGAAAATCTTCGCACTAATTTTTTGGATAACGTAACGTTCCAAGATCGAGGGGGGACCATTATCCGCACAATACTCTCAACTGCAAAACCTTTAAGAGTGGAGTAAAACTTTTTGCGCCAAAATGTTGCATTTTGTTGCCTATGTGCTCAAGCCAAAAACCATCTTAATCTGCAGCTCACTAAATTTCATTGTCCACTGAAGCAATCATATCTCTGGTGGAATAATTTCCCTGAGATGCCTAAATGGGGTTCGAAAGTTTGAGCTGGTACTCTGAACTCAATTGCCTAATTCTTTTAGTTCATCAGGGACACATCATAGCTTTCGAAAGTTTAACTCCATTGGGCGAATACTGTGCGCCAAGATCGAGTGAACATCTCTAGTTTGCTCAGTTAATATACCTTTTCAAAGGTTTTGCTGAACAAGCGTCACTTCGTAACACTTCTCCTGCGAGGTAGGATGCTCCTCTACTGCGCAGGTAGAACTGCGCGCCAGTGTATATTCTTCCTAATTGGCCCCACATTCACGTAAACAGATGAAGTTATGTGCTGGCCTCAAGGTCAACACTACGGGCCACTAACAACCACTACGGTTAGCACGCAATTCTTGAAACGAGATAGCCATTGAATTTATTCGGATCAGCTGAAAGCTGTTGCCCTATGCAAGAGCAGTGTGAAATTGAAAATTGATTATTTCGTGTTGAGATCTTCATACAACGTTTTTGTTCGATAGGCAACTTTCTGTGCGCATTGTGAACACCATCGTAATATTGCTGAGCGGTTGTTCCGTAAGTTACGTTATTCCGCAAACGTGAATCTTGCTTCTCAACTACCATCATCATCGTGGACCACAGCGCTAGTGTTTACGCTGATGTTCCACTCTGTTGGAACTTAACATGGAAACAAAAACGCTTGAACACGGAAACTAACCAGTTTTTAGCTGACCACGACCGCTCCAGAGTATATGCTCCGTGAAACGCTCAACCGGGCACTCAGGAGAGAAACTGACAGCACGAGCGTTATACCGTCATTTAGACAGTATATCGTGAGAAGTCTCCTGCCAAGTGCAGAAACGGTCACGATGAACCCTTTTTTAAGCAACCGGGCACTCAGGAGAGAAACTGACAGTACGAGCTTTATACCGTCATTTAGACGGTATGTCGTGAGAAGTCTCCTGCCAAGTGCAGAAGCGGTCACGATGAACCCTTTTTTAAAGACGAGAATCAATGCTCAAAAGGAAGTGATCTGTGAATAGCCTACATCTACAATAGACGTTATCGGCTATCCAGGAGTCCCACATCCAGTCCAATCCAACCATACAATTAAGTTTCAGCAGGGCTAAGTCTTCGTGCGTACGTGTCGATATGGATAGCCAACACAAAGTTGTCTGGTATTTTAGAGTGTTTTAAAATGAATTCCGGAACATCAGTAGACTGCATCACTGGTTGAAGTGTTTATTGATGAACTGTATGGTGAATTTCGTCAACAGCCCACGACCGGTCTCGCCCTTTTTGGGGCTCATCAGGTAGGCACAGTCCCCGGGTTTTCTGTCAACCTTATGTTCTACTTGAAACC